ATATTGACATATTTCTCACACTTGTTAGACTAGGTGCTATCAGACAGCCAGCGTTGGAGAGGATGTGGGGAAAGAAGAAAACCATGTGCACTGTTAGTGAGATTATAAAAAAAAATGTTTGAAATTAAAAAATGAAGCTGTTATGACTTCATATCCATATTCAGGTGCCAAGGAACCAAGTGTAACTGACTGTGACTAGTAATAATCAGATATATAGAGATTAGAGACACATGTGCAAACATTTGAATGTTAGTAGCATTAAAAATGAGTCTTTCTGTAGGAAACTGTGTATTTTAATAATGAAATGGAGATCTTTTTTAAAGGTTAAAACCTCATTTATGTCTTATAGGGTTTATACTGAATACAATATTGTATAACTGTAATAATTCAACTGTAAACCTAAAAGTTTACAGCCAAATTTGAAAGAGATGCATCTCAGCTCTGGAAAGGGAGTAAAGAGGGGCCACAGATGCTGGAGAGAGTTGGGAGGCACAGCTGCCTATCTTGGCCTCCCAGGTCCTACAAGGCTTAAAGATGCACACTGGGCAGCTGGGATCTCTCTAGAAGGTACTACGTCTACCCAGATGATGGCATTTCACACTCTGCAGCTGTCATGGGATTCCATGGCCTTGTTTCCAGAAATGTGGGTCATCAGCCTGAGGAGGCAGGATATCTGAGCAGAGGGAATTGTTGTAGCTCCTGCTGCTTCTACATGGCCCTCTCTACTCTTCTGTCCTACAGTTTCTATTCCAAGGACAATGAAGGCAGCTGGTTCCGTTCCCTCTTTGTCCACAAGGTAGATCCCCGGAAGGATGCGCACTCTACCCTGCTATCCAAGAAGGAGACGAGTAACCTCTACAAAATCCAATGTAAGTGGCTACTGAGCTGAGTAGCCCATATCCTTGGGCTTTTTTAGGGGATGGGGAGGTGGCTGTGATAGTCTACCCTGGAGATGAGAGGGTTGGGGATACCGAGTGCTGTCCTGGAAGCCCTCGTCCTATTTGTGTTCTACCTACTCGACCACACACAAACTTCATCTCTTGCTCTCTGTCCTGTTTTGCAGTTCACAATGTGAAGCCAGAATGTCTGGATGCCTACAACACTCTGACGTGAGTGTCCTCCATCTGCCATTCCAAGCCACTGCTGGGATATAGGGGAAGAAGAGGCCCTTGACCCCAGTAAATCCTTAGAACATTCTCTGCCTCATTCTCCTTGCTAAAATTTAAGAGGTATAGATTGCAGAGGGGGAAGTCCTAAGGTTGTCTTCCCCACCTGTGCTTCTTAGAGATCAGGAGACAGGTCCAGCCCTGGGATCCTGAATCAGAACCCTGCTCTGGTGGCCAGTGCAAGCCCTGCCCTGACCCTATGCCCCTCCCACAGAGAGGCTGTGCTGCCCAAGCTGCACCTGGATGAGGACTACCCCTGCTCACTTGTGGGCAACTGGAACACGTGGTATGGGGAGCAGGACCAGGCAGGTGAGATTCCCACCTCCCCTGTGCCACTGTCACCACCTAGCCCAGGTCCCCAATACCTCTCATATATGGCTGCCTTCCTCTCCCTCTCTGCAGTAGCCCTGGAAGTGAGGGTAGTGGTGGGGGGGTCAGAAGTGCGATTCTTTCTAAATGCACACTGCATTCTCCCATTCCCCTGCTCAAACACCTGTCATGGCTCTCCAGTGCTTTCATAGTGCCTGTGAGTCCTTCCTTGCCCAGTCTGAAGCCTTACTTGGTCATATCCTCTGCTACTAGGCTGTCCTGCCCATGACTTACCAGTTTACCAAATAGAACCTCTTCACTGTCTAGTTATAGGTGCATGACTATTCATGCTGTTCCTCTACCTGAAGTGTTTTTTTTTTTTTCCTCTCCCTTGTCTAGTTTGTTTACCTATTTTTCTTTTTTCTTTTTCTTTTGAGATGGGTTCTTACTGTATAGTCTAGGCCAGCCTTGAATTCATACTCTTCCTGTCTCAACCTCCTGAGTGACAAAATGGTTTGCCTTTTTAAAAAATTTATTTTTAATTACTGTGGGGGTGGGGGGATTTGCCATGGTATGCATGTGGCCATTAAAGGACAACTTTGAGGAGTTAATTCTCACCTTCACCATGTTGAAGCAGGTCATTCTTACCTCTGTTGTTTTAGCAGATTCCAGGCTAGATTATAGATGCACACTACTGCAACCAGCTGTTTTGTTTTCTTTTCTTTTGTTTTGAGACAGGGTCTTCCCTGTAGCCCCAGCTGGCCTGAAACTCGATATGTAGACCATATCTCACAGAGATCTGCCTGCCCCTACCTCCTGAATGCTGGGATTAAAGGCATGTGCCAGCTTATTATTTTTATTTTAAGTATATGAGTGTATTTCCTGCATGTATGTAAATACTCTGTAACTGGAGTTAAGGACACTTGTTAGCCACTATGTGGGTGCTGGGAACTGAACCCAGGTCCTCTGGAAAAGCTGACAATTGCTGAGCCATCTATACAACCCCTTTTTTAGTCTTTTTTAAAAATATATTATTTTTATTTTATGTGTATGAGTGTTTTGCCTGCATATATGTAAGTGCATTATGTGTGTGCAGTGCTGATGGATGCGAGAAGGCAGCGTCGGATCCCCTAGAACTGTAGTGACAGACAGTTGTTAGCTGCCATCTGGGTACTGGGAACTGAACCTGAGTCTTCTGCAAGAGCAGCCAGTGCTCTTAACTGATGAGCCATCTCTCCAGTTCCTTATTTAGTCTTTTATTTTGGTGTAGGCATCATTTTCTTCTGAAAGACTGGATTCTATATACTCTCACTGTCCCTGGCTTTCTAGCCCTCAACTACTTGCTTCTTAATACTCTGATCATGAACTCCTGTTGCTGCCTTACATACTTGTGTGTCTCCCCATATAGGTAGTAAGTTATGGGAGCAGGCCTATGACTGTGCCAGTGAACTCCCAATATAAGTCTATCCTTTCTTTAAAAAAATTCAGGCCAGCTGGGCATGGTGGCGCACATCTTTAACCCCAGCACTTGGGAGGTAAAGGAAGGTGGGCCTCTGAGTTCCCTGCCAGCCTGGTCTACAGAGTGAGTTCCAGGACAGCTGGGGCTACAGGGAGACCCTGTCTCAAAAAGACCAAAAATAAATGAATAAATAAATAAATAAATAGAATGAATGAATGAATAAATAAATAAATAAATCATGCCAACTATTTTAATTCCAGTACTTGGAAAATGGAGGCAGGAGAATTACCATGAGTTTGAGGACAGCCTGTTCTACAGAGTTGAGTGTCAGGCCAGCCAGGGCTGCACAATGAGACCAAAAGGGTGTGGTGGTACATACCTTTAATCCCAGCACTCAGGAGGCAGAGGTAGGGGGATCTCTGTGAGTTCAAGGCCAGTCTGGTCTACATAGTGCATTCCAGGACAGCTGGGGCTACAAGGGAGACCCTGTCTCAAAAAGACCAAAAAAAAAAAAAAAAACCAAACCAAAACAACCAGAAAAATTCAGCTCCTGTCTTAGTTTGGTTTCTGTTGCTGTGATAAAAAGCTGACCAAAAGCAACTTGGGGAGGAAAGGGTTTATTTCAATTTACTCTTCCAAGGCACAATTCATCTCTGCTGGAAGTCAGGGGAGGAACTCAAGGCAGGAATCTGGAAGCAGGAACTGAAGCAGAGACTTTGGAGGAGAACTGCTTACTAGCTTGCTCCCCTAGTCTGTGCTCAGCCTGCTTTGTTTTTTTTTTTTTTTAATTTTTAATTTTTGTCTTTTTGAGACAGGGTCTCCCCGTAGCCCCAGCTGGCCTGGAACTCACTATGTAGACCAGGCTGGCCTTGAATTCACAAAGGTCTGCCTGCCTCTGCCTCCGAGTGCTGGGATTAAAGGCGTGTGCCACCACGCCCAGCGAGCCTGCTTTGTTATTACAACCTAGGACCACCTACCCAAGGCTAGCATCACCCACAGTGGACTGGACCCTCCACATCAACCAGCAATTAAGAAAATGGCTCATGGACATGGCCACAGGCCAGTCTAATAGAGGAAATGTCTTATTTGTGGTTCCCTCTTTTCTGTGTGTGTCAAGTTGACAACCCAGTCTGTCCAGCATAGTTCCTCAGGTACTTAATGCCACATTTCAAGTGCCCACTGATAGATCCACCTGCCTTAAAGCTCCAGCCTTAGCTATAGATCACTTCTAGGAGGACAGATGTTGGCTGTCTGGGCTTCCTCTGATACCTCTGGGAGGATTCTTCCTGCTTCTTGCAATGTCTGGTTGCCAGAAGCCCTTAGCTTTCCTGGCTTGTGGACACATCATGCTGATCTGTGTCTCTTGAGACACAGTGCTCTGTGTGCAGTCTCTCCTGATAAGGACACCAGATATTGGATTGAGATTCTAAACAATGGGTTTAACTCCATTATATCTACAGAGACCCTGTTTGCAAACAAGGATACAGGCTGAGGTCCTGTCGGGTCATGAATTTTAAGGGGCTACTATTCAAGTCAGCAGAGACTATGATGGACAAGGTATCTAATAGTTCAAAAAGGTCTCAGCAAGAATGAGCCTGGCCATCTCACCTGAGGTCCAAGGGGCCTCTATAGTCACAGTTCTTGTCCATCAAGAGGTCTTGTGTACATTAACATTTCTGTGTCCTCTCACCCCTAAATACTCTGGTGCATTCTCTGTATGTCAGTCTATTCCTTGGTTCTTGGTTTCCTTTCTCTCCTTGCTTCTTCCCTTGTTTTTGTTTTGTTTTGAGACAGGCTCTTATATAGTTCATGCCAGCCTTGGACTCAATGCTCCTCCTTTCACCTCCTGAGTGCTGGGATTACAGTTTTGTGCCACCACACCCAGTTTTATGCAGTGCTGGGGCTCACACCCAGAGCTTTTTGAAGGATACCAACTGAGCCGTCTCCCTAATCTCCTTCCATCTTTTTTGACATGGGGTCTTCTTACTGTAGCCTAGACTACTGGGCTCAAAGGATTCTCTTATATCAGCCTCCCAAATAGCTGGAACTAGAGTTATCTGTCACCACACAGCTGTAGTATTTTTGTTTTTTAACTCATTGGGAACATTCTTCTCTTGGTTGGTTGGTTGATTAGTTCTGGTTGTTTGTTTGATTGGTTCTTGCAGTGATAGACATGGAATTCAGGGTCTCCTACCGCTGAGCTACAGCACCAGTCCTCTTTGAGTGTTCTATGTTAGCCCATCACACTTATCTCTTCTTGTGTCTATCTCATTGTTACACACCTGCTGGTCATCCTTTTGCAGGCTAGTGTTCCTAGGGTGGAAGATACTCCGAATTGTCTTTTGTTTTGTTTGCAATGCTGGGAATGAAACCCAGGCCCTCATGCACGCTAAGCACATGTTCTGTCACTAGCTACATCCCAGCCTCACCTGATCCTCTTGTTGTTGCTATTTAAGGAATGTTGGTAGGATTTTGAGGATGAGAATGTAGAATCCCAGAGGTCAAAGGGCACCAGGCAGCTAGGGGTGGTGGCACATGCCTTTAATCCCAGCACTTGGGAGATAGATAGGCAGAGCTCTGTGAGAGTGAGGCCAGCCTGTTCTACATAGCCTGTTTCAGGCCAGCTGGGGCTACAGGGAGACCCTGTCTCAAAAAACAAAAAACAAAACAAATGGCCACCAGGCAGAGCTGAGCTAGAGTTCTAACCCAGATCTATTGGGCATGCATCTAAGGTCATCCCTACCCAGTGCTGATCCCCACCAAGACAAAGGGAACTTAGAGAGTCTTGATCCTAGGACACCTTCCCCCACACCACATACATACTTAGCTAGCCTTGGGGTTAGACAAACAGGCTCCCCACAGCCCTTGACCTGTATCCCCACATCCAACAGTGCACTTGTGGCGGTTCTCAGGTGGCTATCCAGCCCTCATGGACTGCATGAACAAGCTCAAAAACAACAAGGTACTTCAGTATCCTGTCTGCAAGTTGCTTCTAGCCCAGCTCTGTGCAGAGGGTGGGGGTGGG